TCAAAGTTTGGCATGTCCTAATTTCCATTGAAAATCGATAGTGCAGTGTGGTTGCCAAGGTAGAAATCACAGTTTGAGGCAGGAAAATTGAGTTGTATAAGTGGTAGGTCTCTCCCAGACATTGTGACCTCTATACACCTATGATTCTCCCATCTGTAAAAATGAAGATGTGACCTCACTTATTCTGGGGCTCCAAATAACATTTGTAATGCTCTTTGAATTTGTCAGAAAGAAAGACCCATTACACATTGAAGTCTCTATTCCCAAAGTACATTACAAATGATCCTATGAAATCAGTGGCCTAGAAATATCAAGATGTGTTAGGTACAGCATTTATTTACCTGCTTATTGTCTTCAAGAGTGTTTGTACTTGATTGACATATGGATAATTGTCTAATTGGAACACACTCAGTTGTAACCACCAAAGAATGTAATAGTGCATCTGTTTAATGCCACACTCTCAAATGTTAAATTAAAATTATGCTGCAGTCAGCCAATTCAACCAGGAGACACTTCTGATTAAGTTCTAGCTGAACTTTAATTGAGACACGTTGGTACTTAAAAACTCAAACTGGAGAGGTAAAAAAGGACCAGAAAGGCTGACTTAAACTTTCTAGTTGTGAACAATCTCGCTGGTTTTATAGGGCATCTAGTCAAATGAAGAATAGCAGTTTTGAATGCATAATTAGATTCATAAGTTTTTACCTTGTAAACAAAAGAAAGCATTAATTTTGTAGAACACACAAAACATTCTATGGGTGTTTGTTAATTTTATTTTTTCCTCTAGTGCTAGTTTTTTTTCTTTCTTTTTTTTTGGTGGGTAGTAGGGAATAAATTACATAATTATAAATCTATTGATTGGAATTGTTTAACCTTTTAAGAAATAGTCCTCTTCAGATGAAAAGGATATCTGGGACTGCCAGAGTCATAAATCAAAATGCCTTAAATGGAGCAGCTATTTTTCTCTCATGGTTTTATATATCCATATGTCTAAAACAATAAATTACTCAGTGGTAGAAACCTCAGGTAGTTTTTGTTGTCATTTTCCTAACCATGGTTTAATCCTGTAGAAGTGGGGGAAACCAGAGCAAACATTCATTCGTCCTTTATTTATTCACTTACTACCTACAGTGTGTTGCATATAACCTACAAACACACATTGATTCTGCCTTTGGTGACAGTAGTCTAGTTGGGGAGATAGATATGAAGTATGATATACAGTAGTCAATGCTTTGGTGGGAGTTTAGAAGATAGATGAACTAACATGGCTAGGGTGATTAGAGGACATCTTTATTGAGGAGGAACTCAGTCCTATTGTAAAGGTTTTGCCCTGGACAAGAGCACTAGGCCAAAGGGGTAGGTGAGAGGAAACCAAGTCCCTACTCTACTACCCAAACATGTCCTCATGAGTTGTCTTGTCTTTCTAGAGCATGGGGCTCTTTTCAGTTGCACAAAGGCATCATATGAATTGGTGTTGGGCCAAAGCAATGTTTGAGTTCGGGGGCTTAAAGATTGAATAGCACTCTGCCAGGCAGAGTTCTGGGTCATAAGCTTGTCATAAATTATGAGAGGACCTGGCACATCTGGAGAAGGATGAGAAGACCATGGATTTTACCTCTAGGGGTTGGGAAACTAACATTATTTTTGAGCATAGGAGCACTTTGATTCTTGGGTGGGCATCTCTCTCAGGAGTGTAACGATGAATGCCGGTGGTAACAGGCAGAATCCAGAGAAGAAATGGAGGTAGCCTCAAGGGTAGGATGGAGGAAAGCTAGAGGAATAGGCAAGGAGATGTGAGGATGATGAAAGGTTTTAACTGTGGATTCCATGGGCGGAGATTTGCAGTATGTGAGTAGTAGGAGAGCATGTGGTTGTGGTGACAGGCACAGTTTGAAACAGTTAAGGGTCTAGTGAATAGTAAGAAGGGCAGAGCCTGTGCAGTCTGCTTTATAAAGCACCAGCACGTGGAGTGTGTAGCTGAAGCCACAGGCACAAGTAGGATCACTGGAGAAAACATGGGGTGAGAAGAAAAGAACCCAGCATATGAGCTGGCAATTAGAAAAGCATTGGTGATGTGAATGAGAACAAGTTAAGTAGAGGCTAGGGACTGAAGTCACGTTGTAGCAGATTGAGGGTTAGATGAGCAGCCAAGGAAACAGTGTTTCTCGTCCCTATTTATGCATTAACTTTATCCCTGAAGGTTTTAGAAAAAAAATCAATGCTTGGGTCACACCTCTAGTTATTCCAATTAATTGGTCTCCTGTGGAGCCCAGAAATCAGTATTTTTTAAAGCTTCTCAGATAATATTTAATATATAACCAGAATTTAGAAATACTGCCCTTAACAACTCTGATAAGAAATATACTAAAGCCCCAAAGTTTATAAACATGAGATGCTTAGAGTCATAGTGAATACAAAAACAGAAGTTTTTAAAAATGAGGAATCTCTATATTCTATAACTGGCAATAGTGAGAAACCTGAATAATGCTTTCTGGGTGGATGTGGAGCATAGCAGCTCACATGCCACTGGTGGGCAGGCGGACCAGTGTAGCCGCTCTGTGGAACAGCTTCAATATGTTACCTCCTGGGCACGCCCTGTGACCCAGAAGTTCCACCACTGGATATGTGTCTCAGGGCAGTTCTCCCACAGGACCTAAGAGAGCATGTACTGGCATGTTCGTCACAGCCTTGTGCAGAGTGGAGAAAATTAGAGATACTCTGAGTGCCCTTCATCAGATGGCAAAATTGAGTGGAAATTCCCTATAGACTACTAGGCAGCCATCAAAAGCAGTATTATATTGAATATTATATAGGTAATATGTAAAAAGGTTAATCCTAAAAGCATAAAACATTGTAAGCAGGAGGAGATACAACAATATCCCTGAAAATACATGCAGAACAACAATATATGCATTTTGGAAAATACATTCAAATAAGAATCTAGACATTATAAGCCATTAAAGTGACTATACTCACAAGAAGTAAAGGGAGCAGTGATGAGAGAAATGATGGTTTGTGTAAAAGAGTGATTCCAAGGAAGAATGAGAGAGGATGGAAACTTAAATGGGAAATGGGGTCAAAGGATAGAAGACAGAGGGAGGGAGAGAAAGGGGGGTTTCATAGGATGAAGTGTTACAATGTGTAGATGAAATGGAAGATTCCAGTGGACTTCTTAGTAACAGCTGAGAGCTGTGTCTAAGTAGTATTCCTTTGTCTTTCCCCCAACCTTAAATTCATTTGATTTTTACTCATTACTAAAACAGTATGTGCTCATTACAGATACACCAGAAAATTGGCAAGCCAAACTAATAGAAAGATCCAAAGACCCTCATCCAGAGGCAGCACCCAGATCCTTCATCAGAATAAGTTGCCAAATTAAATTAAGCCTTTTGGTAACCTGGACTCTCTTTTCCTAAGCAGTGTGTTATGTGCTTTTTCCATGTCCAGAATTTGTGCAGCTTTGTTGTTAAGGGCTGCATAACATTCATTAATGTAGCTAATCCCCTATCTCTGGGCATGAGTTGTTTCTAAGTTTTAAGACCTTATGAACAAACATAAAGCATCCAGCTTAGTTGACACTTTCTAATTCCTCATTTGGCTCATTTTAAAAGGAGGATTAAAAATTGGTATTGAAATTGTCTAATGAAAAAGTAAAATTCATTTTATGTCGCATAATAGCCCCAGACCACCTTGGGGCTTTTCTTAGGTCAGTCGTGAATAAGAATGAAGGAACAGGGTCACCTCTACTATCAAGAGAGAGGTACAGTGGGATGTGTGATTGCCTCACCGGTGATGGTGTCATGGACAGGTGGTAGAGTGGAGGTACTGAGTGTTTGGAAAATTATAAGTTTGTCACTATTTGTGCCAGGGAAACCCCAAGGAAGTTCTTAAATCTATACAAAATAGAAGAGCAGTAGCAAGCCCAAGGGCAAGCACAGTGTGTGTTTCTGAGCACTTCCTACCTCCAAGTCATGCAAAGCTGGGGGTTTTGAAGATCTAGTGCAATCCTGCTAGTTGGTAGGTGTAAGCATGAGAAATGCAGTGCTCTGGTAGGTAGGAACTGGCCGTGTGGCTTGCAGCCAGCTTGTCCATTCCCTAAAGAAGCAGTCTAGATGCTGGAGATAGACCCCTTTGTGGCAGGAATATGGTGATATGTCACCATGAGTGCAGTAGAAAAAAACTGCTCCTCTGTCTTTTCAAACTGGTTTTGGTTGTCAAGAAGCTTTGAAGAGGGTGGCTGTTTCCAGGGTCCATTTGAAGCTCTTGTATGCATTCTCCAGCCCTTGCAAACATTAACATAGAAGTGTGTCACCAAGTACCAGCACAGGGCAGCACTGGGCTCTGGACAGACAAGCTAAGCCTCCACATGTTACCATAGAGAGGGTAAGGGAAGCTCAAGGCTTACAAAAATCCCTTCAGCGGCCCTGCTTAAAAATAGCAGTGCAGGCCATAGCTTAGTGTTTTGACAGCTTATATCAGCAGTTTTCTTGGCTGATATATTGATTGTAGTTTGGGCTTCAGTTCCTGCTGATCTAATAAAACATCACCATCATAACAGAGAAGGTGAAGAAGATCTTTTGTGGTACCTGCCACTGGTGGAGTAGTTCTGTGGAGCTGTCATAAAGGTACCTTTACTTTAATACAAAAATGAGGTAAAATTGGACATGTGGTCTAATTGTTTATTCTGTTTCTTCATCTATGAGGATGTTGTTCACAAACACGATTCTACATATTTTTTACAAATGTGCATTTGTCCAGAGGACTATACTGGTGTCTTCACAAAGAATGAAACAAGCTTTGTGCATCAGTGTCACAAACAGCCTAATGGTGTGTCCAGAGCTGCAGTTGTTTCCTGCACTAAGGGGGGGTAACACATCACAGAAAGTCAACTGTGGTGTGGATGAAGTTCTAGAATGTGTAAAAAAAAATCTCCTTGTCATTTTGAGGAAATTCTGAATATCTTCATTCCTACCTCTGCTAAATATCCTTTCATTTCACAGCAATTGCTGACTATCCAGGAGGAACTAAACAACAAAAAGTCAGAACTGGAGCAAGCAAAGGAAGAGCAGTCCCACACACAAGCATTGCTGAAAGTCCTCCAAGAACAAGTAAGTAAGGGAGAGCACCCTCATTTACAAATAAATAAGTTCAAGCATCCCTACTCACACTACCTAGTGCGCCACCCATGCAAACATAAGTGAAGGTAATCTGCAGACTATTTAGCCCAAACCCTACCAATTTTCCTAGCAGCTTTGCTGTGTGGAATTTGTAATGTCCTTTTCAACGTCTCTGTCGTCACCCTGTCCCTACATAGATTACCCAAGCCCGCCCACATTGTGTGAATGTTTCTCAGAAGAGAAATTAATTTTGTTAAAGTTTTAAAATACTGGCAGTGCAGATATATTTCAAAATAAGAAGCTGGTTTCTTCTGAAGTCTAAGAGTGAGGAAAATGAGTTTAGTATAATCCGTGATACCCCTGCAGACGATAAGAAGGACTGATTCATAACTACATTAAAAAGTATCTTCCCTGTGCATCAGGGCACTTATCTGACCGTGGTGAGCAACAAACCTTTCATATGAAGTTTGCAAATCTGATAGTTTCACTCTAGCTTTCTTTGATACAGAAGTGTGGCCTGACATTGATAAGTGGATGGGGAAGGTATTGCCTAACAGCAGGGTAAGATGAATCACTCAGCAGGCAGCAAGTGAAATCTAAACCCCATTGTCTACCCTGGAGGAGCCAGGAGAGCCCTTGAAATGCTTCACAATTTCTGGCTTTCCCTGCTGCCAACAAAATAAAAAGTGGCAATTAGGGGGAAAAAAATCACAGATAACCAAATGTAGGTTTTCTTAAACTTTTCACTCACACACAGTTTATGACAAGGTTATTCATATCATATAAATAACTTCAAAAAGTGGTAGAAAATATGAAGTGTGGCATAGTCAGCTGGTACTCAGTCACTTTACAAGTGATTTTTAATTTTTTCAGTGACTTGGGAGCAAAAAATAATCTTTTAGTTATTTTCCCCAAAAAATATAAGTGACTTATGGGAGAAAAGTGAAGATATTAGGTAGTTTAAACTTTTATGGTTTTGAAGGAAAACATTATATAAAAGTAATAATTTTATATAATTAATATAGATTCAATAACTTATACTTAGGCTGAATCTGCATGATTTCAGAAGTATTAGATTGACCTGCAAACTCTAGTTGATTAAATTCACAATGACCTACTGTCCTCCCCAACTTGACTTTGTGATAATGCAAGTGAAGCTGACCTGATCCAAAATTGCTCTGAATCAGGCATCTTTGGGCTGTAGTTCTTTTCTGAGTTTTCCCTAATTTTTAAAAAATACAGTTTTAACTGGGGTGGGGAGAGTCTAATTTCTTTTTTCTCAGAATGACTCAAATCCTTTATTTTGATCTGAAACCCAAATCCAGTTATAAAAATAGATTCTGAATTGTTCAGAATGAATTGATGTAGTCTTGTTGTGGCATGCATTTTTATTTTATTTTATTATTTTTTTTTTCATTTTTCTTTTATTATTCATATGTGCATACAAGGCTTGGTTCATTTCTCCCCCCTGCCCCCACCCCCTCCCTTACCACCCACTCCACCCCCTCCCGCTCCCCCCCCTCAATACCCAGCAGAAACTATTTTGCCCTTATCTCTAATTTTGTTGTAGAGAGAGTATAAGCAATAATAGGAAGGAACAAGGGGTTTTGCTGGTTGAGATAAGGATAGCTATACAGGGCATTGACTCACATTGATTTCCTGTGCGTGGGTGTTACCTTCTAGGTTAATTCTTTTTGATCTAACCTTTTCTCTAGTTCCTGTTCCCCTTTTCCTATTGGCCTCAGTTGCTTTAAGGTATCTGCTTTAGTTTCTCTGCATTAAGGGCAACAAATGCTAGCTAGTTTTTTAGGTGTCTTACCTATCCTCACCCCTCCCTTGTGTGCTCTCGCTTTTATCATGTGCTCATAGTCCAATCCCCTTGTTGTGTTTGCCCTTGATCTAATGTCCACATATGAGGGAGAACATACGATTTTTGGTCTTTTGGGCCAGGCTAACCTCACTCAGAATGATGTTCTCCAATTCCATCCATTTACCAGCGAATGATAACATTTCGTTCTTCTTCATGGCTGCATAAAATTCCATTGTGTATAGATACCACATTTTCTTAATCCATTCGTCAGTGCTGGGGCATCTTGGCTGTTTCCATAACTTGGCTATTGTGAATAGTGCGCCGCAATAAACATGGGTGTGCAGGTGCCTCTGGAGTACAGTACTTTTGGTATATCCCCAAGAGTGTATTTGCTGGATCAAATGGTCGATCGATGTCCAGCTTTTTAAGTAGCCTCCAAATTTTTTTCCAGAGTGGTTGTACTAGTCTACATTCCACCAACAGTGTAAGAGGGTTCTTTTTCCCGCATCCTCGCCAACACCTGTTGTTGGTGGTGTTGCTGATGATGGCTATTCTAACAGGGGTGAGGTGGAATCTTAGCGTGGTTTTAATTTGCATTTCCTTTATTGCTAGAGATGGTGAGCATTTTTTCATGTGTTTTCTGGCCATTTGAATTTCTTCTTTTGAGAAAGTTCTGTTTAGTTCACTGCCCATTTCTTTATTGGTTCATTAGTTTTGGGAGAATTTAGTTTTTTAAGTTCCCTGTATATTCTGGTTATCAGTCCTTTGTCTGATGTATAGTTGGCAAATATTTTCTCCCACTCTGTGGGTGTTCTCTTCAGTTTAGAGACCATTTCTTTTGATGAACAGAAGCTTTTTAGTTTTATGAGGTCCCATTTATCTATGCTATCTCTTAGTTGCTGTGCTGCTGGGGTTTCATTGAGAAAGTTCTTACCTATACCTACTAACTCCAGAGTATTTCCTACTCTTTCTTGTATCAACTTAAGAGTTTGGGGTCTGATATTAAGATCCTTGATCCATTTTGAGTTAATCTTGGTATAGGGTGATATACATGGATCTAGTTTCAGTTTTTTGCAGACTGCTAACCAGTTTTCCCAGCAGTTTTTGTTGAAGAGGCTGCTATTTCTCCATCGTATATTTTTAGCTCCTTTGTCAAAGATAAGTTGTTATAGTTGTGTGGCTTCATATCTGGTCCTCTATTCTGTTCCACTGGTCTTCATGTCTGTTTTTGTGCCAGTACCATGCTGTTTTTATTGTTATTGCTTTGTAATATAGTTTGAAGTCAGGTATTGTGATACCTCCTGCATTGTTCTTTTGACTGAGTATTGCCTTGGCTATTCGTGGCCTCTTGTGTTTCCATATAAATTTAACAGTAGATTTTTCAATCTCTTTAATGAATGTCATTGGAATTTTGATGGGAATTGCATTAAACATGTAGATTACTTTGGGAGTATCGACATTTTTACTATGTTGATTCTACCAATCCATGAGCATGGGAGATCTCTCCACTTTCTATAGTCTTCCTCAATCTCTTTCTTCAGAAGTGTATAGTTTTCCTTGTAGAGGTCTTTCACATCTTTTGTTAGGTTTACACCTAGGTATTTGATTTTTTTTGAGGCTATTGTAAATGGAATTGTTTTCATACATTCTTTTTCGTTTGCTCATTGTTAGTGTATAGAAATGCTAATGATTTTTCTATGTTGATTTTATATCCTGCTACCTTGCTATAGCTATTGATGATGTCTAGAAGCTTCTGAGTAGAGTTTTTTGGGTCTTTAAGGTATAGGATCATGTCGTCTGCAAATAGGGATATTTTGACAGTTTCTTTACCTATTTGTATTCCTTTTATTCCTTCTTCTTGCCTAATTGCTCTGGCTAGGAATTCCAGTACTATGTTGAATAGGAGTGGAGATAGTGGGCATCCTTGTCTGGTTCCTGATTTTAGAGGGAATGGTTTTAGTTTTTCTCCGTTAAGTATAATGCTGGCTGTAGGTTTGTCATATATAGCTTTTATAATGTTGAGGAACTTTCCTTCTATTCCTAGTTTTCTTAGAGCTTTTATCATGAAATGATGTTGGATCTTATCAAAGGCTTTTTCTGCATCTATTGAGATGATCAAGTGGTTTTTGTCTTTGCTTCTGTTAATGTGGTTTATTACGTTTATTGATTTTCGTATGTTGAACCACCCCTGCATCCCTGGGATGAAGCCTACTTGGTCGTGGTGAATAATCTTTTTGATGTGTTGCTGAATTCGGTTTGCCATTATTTTGTTGAGGATTTTTGCATCAATGTTCATTAAGGAGATTGGCCTATAGTTCTCCTTTTTGGAGGTGTCTTTGCCTGGTTTTGGGATAAGTGTAATACTGGCTTCATAAAATGTGTTTGGCAGTTTTCCTTCCCTTTCTATTTCATGGAACAGTTTAAGGAGGGTTGGTATCAGTTCTTCTTTAAAGGTCTGATAGAATTCAGCAGAGAATCCATCAGGTCCTGGACTTTTCTTTTTGGGGAGACTCTTGATTGCTGCTTCAATTTCATTTTGTGTTATAGGTCTATTCAGGTGATTAATTTCCTCTTGGTTCAGTTTTGGATGATCATATGTATCTAGAAATCTGTCCATTTCTTTAGATTTTCAAATTTATTTGAATATAGGTTCTCAAAGTAGTCTCTGATGATTTCCTGGACTTCCATGGTGTTTGTTGTTATCTCCCCTTTTGCATTCCTAATTCTACTAATTTGGGTTTTTTCTCTCCTCATTTTAGTCAGGTTTGCCAGGGGTCTATCGATCTTGTTTATTTTTCAAAGAACCAACTTTTTGTTTCATTAATTCTTTGTATGGTTTTTTTGGTTTCTATTTCATTGACTTCAGCTCTTATTTTTATTATTTCTCTCCTTCTATTTGTTTTGGGATTTGCTTGTTCTTGTTTTTCTAGGAGTTTGAGATGTATCATTAGGTCATTGATTTGGGATCTTTCAATCTTTTTAATATATGCACTCATGGCTATAAACTTTCCTCTCAAGACTGCCTTAGCTGTGTCCCATAGGTTCCGGTAGGTTGTGTTTTCATTTTCATTGACTTCCAGGAACTTTTTAATTTCCTCTTTTATTGCATCGATGATCCATTCTTCATTAAGTAATGAGTTATTTAGTTTCCAGCTGTTTGCATGTGTTTTGTCTTTACTTT